AAACTGTTTAATAAATGCAACCAAAGCCATCAAAGATTGAGGAAAGATGTACACGTTCGTAACTACTTGCGTAACTGTTTCGTGAATCTGGCCCCAGGATTCCATCGCATATTTTGTGGAAAATTTCCACCAAAATTATAGCATAACATGTCTGAGTAATATGGTCTATGAATGCACATGGACCAGGCATGGCTATTTAAAGAACAAGGCAAGCACTCCCAAGACAGTGTCAAGTCAGCTTATTTCGACCATTTTGTAAACACCATCCCAGGAAGCATGTCTAATGGATCCATACCAGGATATTTAAGTACATCTAATAGCTATAAGTATTTCATGCCAATATTCCTAAATAAATCCATATGCTTAATAAATAGTTGTTTATCCAAATACGTTTCGTTAACGATAGTATAATTGGGTCATTAAAACATGGCAACTATATATGTCCTGGGAGTGGAGTGCATTTGTGTCCAGACGCTGTCGTGACAGTAAACATAACACCGAAGATGTACATGCTGCTTAACTGCAGCTGTTTTACATCTGGTGACCTTTGTATATTGGTGTAAACTACACACAAAACTAATTAAAGTATTCACATCGTTTAAAAACGTTAGATGCGTGAAACGTAAAGAAACTGAGGTGAAATAGTGCTACTGGACCACAGCTGAAGCCAATAGCTGACGGAACTCCTAGTCGCCATTACAACACCACTTCAACAACGGAGTGAACACTACATGCTCTGGCTCAACAAGAAGGCTAAGTCTTAGCAAAATAAGATTACGAGCTCCGTACCTACATAGTAATAAAATAAGGAGGTTGGTGGTGTTATGAGATATTTGGATCAAATATCTTTGTGCAACTAACCCCATTTATTGCAGGTGCGGTTATACTATGGACTTACGAGCCCACCTCAGCAAGTAAATTACTTGCCACTTGAATAAAAATATACTAAACAGGTTAATCAATATATAACAAATAAATGTTTGATATAATGCAGTTGTTTAAAGATAAATTAGGGTTTATATTTGCAATTGATAAAATGATAGCAATAAAGAATAAAATACTCATGTCATTGTTTATAAAATAATTCATACTTGGCATGATACCAGATTTAAAGAATGAGCTAAAATAATTTATAACTGTATCAGTGTTAGCTGCATTACTCATAATTTCATTTTACCAAATGGTGAGGTGGTAATTTTCAATCCAACAGGTAAATGAAAGCAGCAGCACTGTTGTATCACCCTGTAACTGAGCCACCTAGGAAATAATGAGAGTACATACAGTCCATGAAGAAGCAACAATGTTACCCAATGAAGAAGCAACAGTTTCCTAGTGGCCTCTGGATATGACTACTGTCACTGTAGACAGCCTAATTTGCTTTTATGTTAGTAGTTAGATTTTAAGGAGTGAGAAAGTGTTAAACCTTATACTGGTTTGCCTGATGTAGCTCTTGGAGGTTGTTTATGATAAAAAAAAGTCAACTAGCTTGCCCTTCCCCCTCCCCCAAGCATACTTAGAGGAACAGTACAAATTTAGCTGTAAAATCCTGACTGGGAGTGTATATAGTGACAAGAGAGAAAGACGATCATTTCCACTGGACACTTGGCTCATGAAATATCCCAGGAGAAAAAAGATCATCCCTAGACTGATATGAGGCTATACTTATCAAAGTGATGCTTTCTTTACTCAGTAAAACCTCATTAGCATGAAGAGTCGTTCTGTGAGATTAAAGGCATACGCAGTTCCTGTGAGAATATTAAAATGTTAAACATTATTCAAGCAAAATACGGTAGTTACCGATATCTGATGATGTATGGAGGAAACAGAGGATTACCAAGTTTAAACACGGCACCTGGTCGACCAGCCATCATGCATACAGCCATGAGCCTCTCTCCTGGGCGACAGCTGACAAACATGATAGCAATACCTGTTACTGTAGCCTCTAATGCATGTGTTGTGGGGGGGGGGGCAGCAAGCCTTTCCCCAACGCTCCCACACGGTGGACCCCCCCCCCCAACGCTCCCACACGGTGGAACCCCCCCGCCCCAACGCTCCCACACGGTGGAACCCCCCCCCCCCAACGCTCCCACACGGTGGAACCCCCCACCAACGCTCCCACACGGTGGAACCCCCCCCCCCCAACGCTCCCACACGGTGGAACCCCCCCCCCCCCAACGCTCCCACACGGTGGCTCTCCCCAAACACTCCCACACGGTGGCCCCTCCCCCAACACTCCCACACGGTGGCCCCCCCCAACACTCCCACACGGTGCCCCCCCCCCCCCCCCCCCCCCAACCCACCCCCCCCCCCCCCCCACCCCCCCCCCCCCCCCCCCCCCCCCCCCCCCCCACCCAACCAACACTCCCACACGGTGGGCCCCCCCCCCCCCAACACTCCCACACGGTGGGCCTCACCCCAACACTCCCACACGGTGACCCCCCCCCCCAACACTCCCACACGGTGGCCCCCCCAACACTCCCACACGGTGGCCCCCCCCCCCAACACTCCCACACTGTGCCCCCCCCACCAACACTCCCACACGGTGGCCCCCCCCCCCAACACTCCCACACGGTGGCCCCCCCCAACACTCCCACACGGTGGCCCCCCCCCCAACACTCCCACACTGTGGCCCCCCCCCCCAAACACTCCCACACTGTGCCCCCCATCCCACCCCCCCCCCCCCCCAACACTCCCACGGTGGCCTCAACACTCAAATATTTAACTCCAACACAGAAAGTGAAAGAACTTCAACATTTGACTTCACCTCCAACAGCCATTCAGAGAGTAAACAAGAGCTCTGCGCAATGTTGACAGCTCAAATACTTTCTACCATGTCATAGCTTACTGTGCCACTTCACCCGATCGCCATGACTTTTCTTCGACTTTGAATCTTATGAAATCCTCTCTAATATTTCTTTGCCATACCTTGCACCACTGGCACTTAATAGGGTAGACTGCCCGACTATCTGGTACTCGGCGCACATAAAAGTACGTAGGCTGAAGCCTTATAAGTAACAAGAAACATTGGAATGATCTCGTTAAGCAGTTTTACGTAGCCTTACGAAGCTTATAGAAATAGCGAAGGCTATTTCTATAACCTTCGCGTTTTACAAAACCAAATTATTGCTTCATTTGAAATCCTGACGCAATCTCCCATTCAGAAATCCTCGCAAAGAATCTAGGCTAAATTCCAAAAAACAACGATATGCACGCAAACGCTCGTGCTTGCACGCAAACACCTCAAAGCTCACCCATCCACCATATCTCTGCCTGTAATCCCAGCAAAAACAACAACTATTGTAGCCTCAATACCTACACACAAGACAAACTCATCAACCAGTAATCCTTTCCAGAATTTGGGAGTTATGCGCCTACACATTAACAGAACAAGTTTCCATACTGTCTCTTATTGAACTTTATAACCGTCTAAAGTTCGAACAAGGCTGAACTTTTCTGTCTCATCAGACATGGTTAATTACTTTTTTTGTTCATATTAGTTCCTATCATGGCATTTACCAGTGTGTTCATCTGTCTGGATCACAGGAGCAATATAATGTTTAACCTCCTGCTTAACTTTATTAAATCACACTGTTCATCGTTTGTCCCAGTCTGTTCACAGGCTGTATGTTTGTCATCCACTTTCACATAATTCACAATATGATGTTCACCACCCCGGAGTCTGGCCCTCAATGTTCACCACGCCGGAGCCTGGCCCTCAATGTTCACCACGCTGGAGCCTGGCCCTCAATGTTCACCACGCCGGAGCCTGGCCCTAAGTGTTCACCACCCGGAGGCTCCTGGCCCTCAATGTTTACCACCCAGGAGTCTGGCCCTAAGTGTTCACCACCACCCGGAGTCTGGCCCTCAATGTTCACCACGCCGGAGCCTGGCCCTCAATGTTCACCACCCCGGAGTCTGGCCCTAAGTGTTCACCACCCCGGAGTCTGGCCCTCAATGTTCACCACGCCGGAGCCTGGCCCTCAATGTTCACCACCCCGGACTCTGGCCCTCAATGTTCACCACGCCGGAGCCTGGCCCTAAGTGTTCACCACGCCGGAGCCTGGCCCTAAGTGTTCACCACCCCGGAGTCTGGCCCTCAATGTTCACCACCCGGAGTCTGGCCCTCAATGTTCACCACCCCGGAGTCTGGCCCACAATGTTCACCACCCCGGAGTCTGGCCCACAATGTTCACCACCCCGGAGTCTGGCCCTCAATGTTCACCACCCCGGAGTCTGGCCCTCAATGTTCACCACCCCGGAGTCTGGCCCTCAATGTTCACCACCCCGGAGTCTGGCCCAAAATGTTCACCACCCCGGAGTCTGGCCCAAAATGTTCACCACCCCGGAGTCTGGCCCAAAATGTTCACCACCCCGGAGTCTGGCCCAAAATGTTCACCACCCCGGAGTCTGGCCCTCAATGTTCACCACCCCGGAGTCTGGCCCACAATGTTCACCACGCCGGAGCCTGGCCCTCAATGTTCACCACGCCGGAGTCTGGCCCTCAATGTTCACCATCCCGGAGCCTCCTGGACCTCAATGTTCACCACGCCGGAGCCTGGCCCTCAATGTTCACCACCCCGGAGCCTGGCCCTCAATGTTTACCACCCAGGAGTCTGGCCCTAAGTGTTCACCACCCCGGAGTCTGGCCCTCAATGTTCACCACGCCGGAGCCCGGCCCTCAATGTTCACCACCCCGGAGTCTGGCCCTAAGTGTTCACCACCCCGGAGTCTGGCCCTCAATGTTCACCACGCCGGAGCCTGGCCCTCAATGTTCACCACCCCGGACTCTGGCCCTCAATGTTCACCACGCCGGAGCCTGGCCCTAAGTGTTCACCACGCCGGAGCCTGGCCCTAAGTGTTCACCACCCCGGAGTCTGGCCCTCAATGTTCACCACCCCGGAGTCTGGCCCTCAATGTTCACCACCCCGGAGTCTGGCCCTCAATGTTCACCACCCCGGAGTCTGGCCCACAATGTTCACCACCCCGGAGTCTGGCCCACAATGTTTACCACCCCGGAGTCTGGCCCTCAATGTTCACCACCCCGGAGTCTGGCCCTCAATGTTCACCACCCCGGAGTCTGGCCCTCAATGTTCACCACCCGGAGTCTGGCCCTCAATGTTCACCACCCCGGAGTCTGGCCCAAAATGTTCACCACCCCGGAGTCTGGCCCAAAATGTTCACCACCCCGGAGTCTGGCCCACAATGTTCACCACCCCGGAGTCTGGCCCAAAATGTTCACCACCCCGGAGTCTGGCCCACAATGTTCACCACGCCGGAGCCTGGCCCTCAATGTTCACCACGCCGGAGTCTGGCCCTCAATGTTCACCATCCGGAGCCTCCTGGACCTCAATGTTCACCACGCCGGAGCCTGGCCCTCAATGTTCACCACGCCGGAGCCTGGCCCTCAATGTTCACCACCCCGGAGCCTGGCCCTCAATGTTCACCACCCCGGAGCCTGGCCCTCAATGTTCACCACCCCGGAGCCTGGCCCACAATGTTCACCATCCCGGAGCCTGGCCCTCAATGTTCACCACCCCGGAGCCTGGCCCTCAATGTTCACCACCCCGGAGCCTGGCCCTCAATGTTCACCACCCCGGAGCCTGGCCCTCAATGTTCACCACCCCGGAGCCTGGCCCACAATGTTCACCACCCCGGAGCCTGGCCCACAATGTTCACCACCCCGGAGTCTGGCCCTCAATGTTCACCACCCCGGAGTCTGGCCCAAAATGTTCACCACCCCGGAGTCTGGCCCAAAATGTTCACCACCCCGGAGTCTGGCCCAAAATGTTCACCACCCCGGAGTCTGGCCCAAAATGTTCACCACCCCGGAGTCTGGCCCTCAATGTTCACCACCCCGGAGTCTGGCCCACAATGTTCACCACGCCGGAGCCTGGCCCTCAATGTTCACCACGCCGGAGTCTGGCCCTCAATGTTCACCACGCCGGAGTCTGGCCCTCAATGTTCACCACGCCGGAGTCTGGCCCTCAATGTTCACCACGCCGGAGTCTGGCCCTCAATGTTCACCATCCCGGAGCCTCCTGGCCCTCAATGTTCACCATCCGGAGCCTCCTGGCCCTCAATGTTCACCACGCCGGAGCCTGGCCCTCAATGTTCACCACGCCGGAGCCTGGCCCTCAATGTTCACCACCCCGGAGCCTGGCCCACAATGTTCACCACCCCGGAGACTGGCCCTCAATGTTCACCACCCCGGAGCCTGGCCCACAATGTTCACCACCCCGGAGCCTGGCCCTCAATGTTCACCAAGCCGGAGCCTGGCCCTCAATGTTCACCACCCCGGAGCCTGGCCCACAATGTTCACCACCCCGGAGCCTGGCCCTCAATGTTCACCAAGCCGGAGCCTGGCCCTCAATGTTCACCATCCCGGAGCCTCCTGGCCCTCAATGTTCACCACGCCGGAGCCTGGCCCTAAGTGTTCACCACCCCGGAGGCTCCTGGCCCTCAATGTTCACCACGCCGGAGCCTGGCCCTCAATGTTCACCATCCCGGAGCCTGGCCCACAATGTTCACCAACCCGGAGCCTGGCCCACAATGTTCACCACCCCGGAGCCTGGCCCTCAATGTTCACCACCCCGGAGCCTGGCCCTCAATGTTCACCACGCCGGAGCCTGGCCCTCAATGTTCACCACCCCGGAGCCTGGCCCTCAATGTTCACCACCCCGGAGCCTGGCCCTCAATGTTCACCACCCCGGAGCCTGGCCCTAAGTGTTCACCACCCCGGAGGCTCCTGGCCCTCAATGTTCACCACGCCGGAGCCTGGCCCTCAATGTTCACCTCGCCGGAGCCTGGCCCTCAATGTTCACCACCCCGGAGCCTGGCCCTCAATGTTCACCACCCCGGAGCCTGGCCCTCAATGTTCACCACCCCGGAGCCTGGCCCTAAGTGTTCACCACCCCGGAGGCTCCTGGCCCTCAATGTTCACCACCCCGGAGCCTGGCCCTAAGTGTTCACCACCCCGGAGGCTCCTGGCTCTCAATGTTCACCACCCCGGAGCCTGGCCCACAATGTTCACCACCCCGGACCCTGGCCCTCCATGTTCACCACCCCGGAGCCTGGCCCACAATGTTCACCACCCCGGAGCCTGGCCCACAATGTTCACCACCCCGGAGCCTCCTGGCCCACAATGTTCACCACCCCGGAGCCTGGCCCACAATGTTCACCACCCCGGAGCCTGGCCCACAATGTTCACCACCCCGGAGCCTGGCCCTCAATGTTCACCACGCCGGAGCCTGGCCGACAATGTTCACCACGCCGGAGCCTGGCCCTCAATGTTCACCACCCCGGTGCCTCCTGGCCTTCAATGTTCACCACCCCGGAGCCTCCTGGCCCTCAATGTTCACCACGCCGGAGCCTCCTGGCCCTCAATGTTCACCACGCCGGAGCCTCCTGGCCCTCAATGTTCACCACGCTGGAGCCTCCTGGCCCTCAATGTTCACCACCCCGGAGCCTGGCCCTCAATGTACACCACGCCGGAGCCTCCTGGCCCACAATGATCACCACCCCGGAGCCTGGCCCTCAATGTTCACCACCCCGGAGCCTCCTGGCCCACAATGTTCACCACCCCGGAGCCTGGCCCTCAATGTTCACCACCCCGGAGCCTGGCCCACAATGTTCACCACCCCGGAGCCTGGCCCTCAATGTTCACCACCCCTGAGCCTGGCCCTCAATGTTCACCACCCCGGAGCCTGGCCCTCAATGTTCACCACCCCGGAGCCTGGCCCACAATGTTCACCACGCCGGAGCCTGGCCCACAATGTTCACCACGCCGGAGCCTGGCCCACAATGTTCACCACGCCGGAGCCTGGCCCACAATGTTCACCACGCCGGAGCCTCCTGGCCCTCAATGTTCACCACGCCGGAGCCTGGCCCTCAATGTTCACCACCCCGTAGCCTGGCCCTCAATGTTCACCACCCCGGAGCCTGGCCCTCAGTGCTCACCACCCCGGAGCCTGGCCCTCAGTGCTCACCACCCCGGAGCCTGGCCCTCAGTGCTCACCACCCTGGAGCCTGGCCCACAATGTTCACCATCCCGGAGCCTGGCCCTCAATGTTCACCACCCCGGAGCCTGGCCCTCAATGTTCACCACCCCGGAGCCTCCTGGCCCACAATGTTCACCACCCTGGAGCCTGGCCCTCAATGTTCACCATCCCGGAGCCTGGCCCTCAATGTTCACCACCCCGGAGCCTCCTGGCCCTCAATGTTCACCACCCCGGAGCCTCCTGGCCCTCAATGTTCACCACCCCGGAGCCTGGCCCTAAGTGTTCACCACCCCGGAGGCTCCTGGCCCTCACTCCTCATACCTTCCGCAACTATTCCTCTTCTCTAATGTATAATGTTGTGTACATAAAGTTTACGAAGGCAATTTGGAAGTAAAAGCAATCGCCTTCAAAAACAGCTGAGCAAGGTAGAGTGGTTATCAGGAGAAGCAATAGGGCAATTACGACTAGTCACCACCTGGAAAGCATATGGGGATTGAACGGGATTGAACGGAGGGACCGAACGGAGGATTGGGATTGAACGGAGGAACGGAATGATGCCCAACCACTCGTACGGTCAGGGATTGGACACAAAACTGCACGAAGCGAGACCGTCGCTGTACCGTCGTGTCCATGCGGTAAATTGTATAGTAGGGTAGGGGTAGGATAGGGTAAAGTAGGGTAGAATGAGACATCTTTGTCCCTAAGATAAAGTAGATCCAACTTCACCGTGATAGCATAGTTAACATGTTGATGCCATTTTGATCGAAATGTTGAATTAGAGAACGAAGAGAGGGTCCAGACCATCGTCATTAGTGACACGAACGCAACAGGAATTGACCGACAGTTCGATCGTCTAGCTGGTCAGACGTTGGAGGTTAATAACAAGGTAATACATCGGAATTCCGTAACAACTGCAATAAAACTAGTTTCCATCGTTAACAACCTGCACTAAAGCAAGGACCGTTAACACCTGCACTAAAGCGAGCGTAAACTAACATTAACAACGGTAGTAGGCCCAAGAGAAACAACAAGCAAGAAGGGTTATTCAGTAAATTTCTTTTTAATAATAAAAGGATAGACAGGGAGAAAATAAACAGGGAACTTACAAACATACAATGGGGAACTGTACTAATAAAAATCCTACAAAAGGAATAGAAAAACTGACTTCTGAAGCATATAAAGTCTGTTTGAGTTGTGTTCCTTTGAAGAAAGCCAGAAAGAGGTTCAACGTAGAAAGATAACGCAAACGACACTACAAAAGAAGGAAAAAATAACGGGAATGCTTATGCAGACACGACTTTCCATACAAAGATGGAATAATTTAAACAGGGAGATTAGAGAAATCGAGCAGAGACTGAAGCATTCATATTAGATGGAAGAAAGGCAACTAGAACAGAAAGCAAATCAAGAAACTGAAAAAACAACTAAATATTTTTTCACATATGCGAAATCAAAAGCAAAAACCACTGCCAGTATCGGATCTATTCGTATTAGTGAAGGTTCATACACTGAGGATGACAAAGAAATTAGTGAAATTTAAAAAAAGCAGTATGAGGACACGTTTAGCACTCCAATAAACAGCATGAAGGTGGAAGATCCGGACAACAACTTTATGCGTGATATCTAAACCCCTGTATATATAACTGATATCAACACGAGCGCGGCAGACTTTGAACGAGAAACTGACAATATGCACATGTACTCAGCCCCGGGTCCAGACTCATGAAATTCAATATTTATAAAGAAATGCAAAGTGCCAGTAGCACAGGCACTCAGTATAGTGTGGAGAAAGAGCTTGGACACGAGGGAGATACCTGATGCGCTTAAATCAGCAGACATTGCCCCTCTACACAAGGGAGGGAGCAAAGAAGTATAGACCAGTTGCACTAACGTCCCACATAATAAAAGTATTTGAGCGAGCGATCAGGAGGCAGGTTACCAGATTCATGGAAACCAACGACCTTCACAACCCAGGCCAACATGGATTTAGAACGGAAGGATCGTGCCTCTCACAGGTACTTGATCACTACGACAAAGTCACGGAGGCATAAGAAGAAAAACAGAATGCAGATGTGGTATACACGGACTTCGCTATGGCATTCGATAAATGTGACCATGGAGTAATAGCATACAAAATGAGGTCAATGAGAGTAAGTGGTAAAGTAGGACGCTGGATACTCAGATTTCTGTCGAACAGAACACAAAGAGTAGCAGTCAACTATATAAAATGGAGTCTAAGCGCAGTTAAAAGCTATCCACCACAGGGTACAGTCCTTGCACCACTGCTTTGCCTTATTCTCAATCAGATATAGACTCAAATACAAGTCTCAGCTTCGAATCATCCTTTGCAGATGACACAAAAATCAGCATGAAAATTACCTCTGTTGAAGACAATGAAAAACTTCAGATATTAATAAAGTTTTCGACTGGGCAGCAGAAAATAACATGATGTTTAACAGTGATAAATTCCAGGTACTCATGAATGGTAAAAATGAGTACTTAAACATAATGCATGATAAAAACACAATCAAATCTGCCCATAGTAGGAAAACAGCATGTAAATGATTTGGGAATAATGATATATGACGACCTAAAGTTAAGGGAGCATAACCAAGCAAATATTGTGTCAGCCAGAAAAATGATAAATGGACCACGAGAACTTTCAAATCCAGGGATCTCATCACAATGGTTGTACTCTTGAAACCACTTGTGCTGTCCCGTCTTGAGAACCGCTCAGTACTCACTTCACCCTTCAGGGCAGGAGAGATTGCTGAAATAGAGGGAGTACAAAGAACATATACGGCATACATAGACACGATAAATCACCTTAACTATTAGGATCATCTCAAAGCTCTCCAAATGTACTCACTTGAAAGGAAACGAGAGAGATATCAAATAATATACACGTGGAAAATACTGGAGTGCCAAGTCCTAAGTCTACACAGAAAAATAATAACTTACTGGAGTGAACGATATGGAAGAAAATGCAGAATAGAACCAGTGAAGAACAGGGGTGCGATAGGCCCAATCAAAGAACATTTCATAAACATCGAAGATCCACGGTTGTTCAACACCCTCCCAGCGAGTATAAGAAATATTGCTGGAACAACTGTAGAAATCTTCAAGAAAAAACTAAATAGTTTTCTTCAAGAAGCGCCGGACCAACCGGGCTGTGGTGGGTATGTGGGCCGCTCCAAGCAACAGCCTGGTGGACCAGACTCTCAAGTCAAGTCAGGCCTCGGGCCGGGCTTGGGGAGTAGAAGAACTCTCAGAACCCCATCAAGCAGGTAATGCATGAGGGTACTGAGAACGCCATCTACGTCTGCGTCACGCAAGAACCTAGAGCCATGCGTGTCGGTATCTACAACTTTTAAGTACGCCTGTGTCAAGCCAGAAAACAGAAGCAATGTCTTCGGTATTGACTCTACTAACAATGACTGCGGTCACGCTGGAAGCAGGATCAACACAATCTTCAGACATCGCCATTTGAACTAAAAAGGAGTCCAGTTGCTTATTTTCGAGTATATTTATGGTTTATTACTAACTAAACAGAGATTAAATTATATGAAAGCTTTTTTAGAAAGCCTGGTGCAATTATTACTAATAAGGTTTTAACTAAATAAATTTAAAAATAATTTATAATAGTATTTTGCTTTAGTGTATTGTAAACAAGAATTGTAAAGGTGGAATTATATAATTTAATTTTCATTAAATATCGTAACAAAAATTAAAGAAAATAAGGTTATTTTACTCCCAATAAGACCTTAGTTGCTTCACCGAACAACGTAGGTGTTGTATCTCATTGTTTTAAGAGCAGTGCAACAACTGAATTTCATCAGTAATTCTACTCATATAATTAGACTTGACAAAGTTCCTCACATGTCAAGTCGTGCCCACAGGCCGGGCCTGGTGAGGAGGGAGGGGGGGGGGGAATAGAAGAACTTCCGGAACAACTGGTAAACTATCACTGAAAACAAACTCGCAAGATTATGCCGATTAAATTTCTGTTGATACTGCCACTGAGATTTTTCGAATGGTCAAAAAGATTCGAGATTGGAATTCCAGAGCTTCAAAACCATATTTTGTGTAAATTTTCTGCGATATGTTAGTATGTTATTTTTAGTATGCGATTTATATAGTTTAGCTTTTAACTCGTCAAAGTTCAGTTTGTCTAATGTTACTGTTTGAACAGTATGAATTTTGCAGTTTCTTCAAATGATCTGGGTGTAGTAAATCACAAAAATAATTTATCAGCAGTTGAATCAACGGTGTTGGAAAATTATATTTGTCAGCGCTGAATATCAACCCGTTCTCGCAAATTTAATAAGTCAATATTGACTTATTAAATATGTGCATAGGTGACATACTTAATAGATACCCTTAAAAAGATTCATAGAAAACACCGACCTTACCTAACCTTGTTAGTATCTTAAGATAAGCATCTTATAGCTTCGTAATTACAATCATTACCTATCCTATAATAGGTATAGGTTAAGTAATAATTGTAATTACGA